CTGTCTCTTACCTGGAGTGTTTTTTTTTTCTTTGTTTTGTTTTTTCTTAGCATGTCCAGGACATTTATAATGTTGTCACTGATTCACTAACCCCCTCTTGTGGAGGACATCTAGAAGTGCAACTCCTCTACATCAGAATCACTACTGTATTAGTCTGTCACTAAACTCTTCCATACTGTTGCATGTGGGTCTGAGGAGTGGGAGCTACTCTCTCTCTTTGTTTACACTGAGGGTCACCGACTGGAGGAGTATAATAATAATAATAAACAATAATGCTGTATATCTCTAAAGGGTTTCACCATCATGTTCTGCAAAGACAAACAAAGGGGAATACAGCTGTGACATTGTGAGACAGCCTGGATGTAAATAAAGAAGCGCTTGCCAAAGTTTGTAAATGCCATCAGATGTGTCGTCTCTCTTTTTTATGTTTTTAACACTCTTCACAGATTTCAACAATAATCTTTAGTTTTGCATCATTTACACCTTCAAACTGCCTTTTTTTTAAAGTCCACCTTAGGTTTGAAATGCGCTGGATGAAAAATACTCACACTTCACTATTTACTTTATAGTATCATTTTTTTTACATCCCTTACAAATGGAGCCCCCCTCTGTGAGGTCAAGAAGCACAAGATTTATCCTGCCATTTTGCAAAGATACTGTTATTTTTGGTATTTAACCAATAAGATGAGACCTTGGATGATTTTATAGATACAATACTATAAATTAAGTTGAAAAAAGTTAATGTTACAAAAGTAATACAGTTTTGTTCTTTTTTCCTAATAACACTCATGGATGGAAATTAAGATTTTCATAGTATTTGATTGAGTGCCCTATAAAGGTAATTATGAGGTAACTGCAGGTTTAAATGTATTTTATCAGGATTTTCTTGTGAAACTGCAGTGCACGGTCATGAAGTTGAACTAAAGTACTCATTAAAGTTAGTATTAGTGTTGCACCGATGTTATTTTTTGGCCCCGATACCTGGCTGTACAGTATTTGCTGATACCATCTGTTTGAAATCAATGCTTGTGTGTATATATGAAAAACTGCATAGTACTTGGATGTAAAATAATTACCATCATGGCTTTGTCAAGCTGCTGCCTACCTTTGTGAAGCAGGAAAAAGACTAATACAAAGTGAATCCAGTAGAACGTTTTATTGCCTTGGAATGGGTGACAATAGTTGAATAAAATTTGGCTCTCAAAATGGTATCGCTGCCCTATACTGTATGTTCGATACCTCCATGTTAGTGCTGGATCGTCCCCGCCCGATACTGGTATTGGTGCAACACTAGTTCGTTTTTTTTATTTTTTTTATTCCAGTTTGTAGATTTCCACAGGAGAAGTTTGGATTCTCACTTTGTTTGTCCCATCAACTGCAGGGGAGTCCTGGAAGAAAACTGCAGAAGCAGGAGAACATCCCCCAACACACAGAGAGAGCTACAATCGAATGCTTAAGCTAACCTCCATCAGAGACAGTAACCTCTACAATCAGAAAAAGATTTACCTTTCACACTATTAAAGATCTGTCTTGTGTTTCAAAAACATACTAAACATTTTATCNTCACTTTGTTTGTCCCATCAACTGCAGGGGAGTCCTGGAAGAAAACTGCAGAAGCAGGAGAACGTCCCCCAACACACAGAAAGAGCTACAATCGAATGCTTAAGCTAACCTCCATCAGAGACAGTAACCTCTACAATCAGAAAAAGATTTACCTTTCACACTATTAAAGATCTGTCTTGTGTTTCAAAAACATACTAAACATTTTATCATCTCTTTTAATGCTCTTAGAAATAATCTTAATGCCATCAACAAGTACCTATGACTTATGTATATATACATATATATATATATATATATATATATATATATACACACATACACATGGCAAAATCCTTCATCATCTTCACCGTGGACAGGCTGCAGCCATGTCCAGAGTTCCTCGTTTTCCTGCCACTTTGGTTCAAATTTGCATTTTTCCTCATTCTCTAGCCTTTTCTCCGCCTCAAGCTTCTTTTCCAAAGCATTTTAATGCCACAATTATCAAATTTTATGAATTTTAATGCCAATTAAATAACTTAATTTAAGAAATAATAATTTAATNAAAAAAAAAACACTTTGCAGCCAAATTAAAAGTTCAAATTGGCTAAATGGGATTATTTGTATCATTGCATTCTTTACTAACATCAGTATACATTAAACATTACTGTCATATCAAGGCCTGTTTAGGCTAGACAGCCACAGGCTCCAGATAAATTGTATGCAAAGGATAAAATCTGACGTTTTTGCAGCAGAAGATGCCTGCGGTAGGAGCTGAATATGAATGCATTTAGATTATTTTTGCATTGCTTTTTGTTTTCGTCTATTGAGTAGAATCCTACTAAAACTACATTGAAGTATGTAGCTAAAATATGAGGGAAAGCTGGTGTAAAGGACTTGCTTTTGCAGGATACTGTATGCATCACTGTTATACTATCAGATATGTTGCACTTTGTTATGAATATTAGTGCCTCTTCATCAAACCACATTTAGAAATTAAACTTTAAGAGTTGTCTTAAAGGAGGCTTTAATGTGAAAATAAAGGTTTTTCTGATCTCTGCTACCAGTGTGGTCACACAAGGGGCTGCCTCATAAAAAATGTTGATTCTGGGCTCAGCGGTGGGTTACCTTTCCAGTACATTGGAGGCAGCACACAAGTGTTTTATTGTTCACTCGGCTCTCCACATGGAGGCCCTCCTTTCCACTATGAACTGCCCTCTGGGAGGGGTTTCCAAGGGGGGAGATTTCACAACATCAGCAAGGAGGCTGCATGAAACAAGGCATTCATCTTACCAGCAATCCCAGGGTTGGGAGTTAACCACCCTGTGAAGCGACCCAGTTCAGGTTGAATCGACTCAGCCTGTCGTCTGGGCAAAGGCTTCGCTTCTGAGCCCCCAGACGTGCCTGATAGCACGTCTGCCAGAAACTCAGGAAAAGAGCTAATACTAGGAAGCAAGGCAGGGTATATAGCTGAGGAACAAACTGTCCTTCCAGTCAAGGGCCAGCAAACAGATCCTGGATCTGATCACAGAACTTTTCCACTAGACTGACAATTGTTCAGCTCAGCTAAGCAGAAAACAGAGATGTCCAGAAATACAAGTTTGTGTTTTCCAGACTTCTAACCGTGCCTTTAACATAAAATACATTGGTGTTCACATAAAGAAATTAAGATCAGAATGCTACCTCTGTTAAAGAGAGAGAAAAAAAGTTCAACTGTCAGCACAGAAAGCACCCTGTATGAATTAGAAGGTTTAGTTAACCACGGCTTAAAAAAAAACGTTTTATTACCAAGGCATCACAGAGAGACCTCTGCTAAAGTACTGTAAAACACCAGGACATCATAACGGAGCAGAGAGATCTGCTGCAGACACAATCCTGAGCAGAAATAACATTATTTCATCATAAATTAAGGTAAGCAAAAAGTCAACTTTAATGCACTTCAGCGCAAGTCTCCACTGCTGAAGAAGAAGCTTTCAGATGCCCAGTTACAAAACCTATCAAACCATAACCGGTTCTAGTCATAATTTACCATAGTGGACCTGCTATTTTCTCACAAACAAAATAAATGAAG